ACTCTTTCTATGAACTTAACATTTAAAAAGTAAGCTTCTTTTTAAATAATTGTCAAGCAATACCAATATTTATGAAGAAAACCTATTATTGGGCGTTATAAGTATTCACTCAGTGACCCAAATTAACATTTTTTCTTGGAGCTGCGTCTTGCAAGAATCATTAGTACTATACATTTTAATGTGCAGTTAAAGCTTCTGTATCGGGTCATGATGCGGAGCGAGGGGGACTGGGAAACCGTCTCGTCCTTTTGCAAAGTAGTCATGCTAGCTAAGGAGGAGGAGGGGTGCATGAGACAGCGAAGCGCTGCCTCATGCGCCCTACCTAATTAACATAATGTATTTTGCGTACCTTATTATATTATTTTCTTTGTCATGTAATTATATGTGTTCTATGAAGTCAATAAAACATTAGATTTACACATAAATCATGTTATTAAATTCATTGTACCTACTCATTTGGGTCATAGAATTGAAATATTTAAAAAGGGATTACCTAATATCAATATTAAATGTCATTAATATTTAACCTGTTGGTACCCTTGAAGTTTAAAATTCATATTGTACTGCTGTATAATAATAGTTAAATTCACTAGATATAATGTTTTATAAAAAAAATCTCTGTATTACCACGCAGCCTGGAATTGCTCTTGATATATATGGCAATAGGCTCACCCCTACTACCTATATGGGACTCATAACTTAAATAGTGAGTCGCGGAGAGCCTAACGGGTAACCGGGGCTCCGACTCGACGTGCAGGAAAGGAACGGGGTGGTTTTTAGTCAGTAATGCTGGAATACTGAAACGTTACTCAATTTTAAGACGTGCTTAAATATCATGCAGTCTCTGTCATTTTATAAAGAATTTGTAGAGACAGAACTATGCTTAAGCACGACTTAAATTTGAGTAACGTTTCAGTATTCGGGCATAAGAGTCTGACACTCCCTTCCGCCTCACCCAGGCGGGAGCAGTCATTCGATGATTTTCCCCCCTTAAACTGTCAAACACCAAGCGGTCACCGGTGGCCGCAACCTATTGTTCTATAATTGTGTCTACAAAACCGGTACTCGACGAGTTAAAAAAAACTTAAATAGTGAAAAGTGGGTGTTACACTGTACAGTAGCATAAAATGCCGTGATTAGCACCTCTGTCTACTCCTTCGGGAATGAAAAGGTTTGAAGTTATTAAGCCTCTAGTTTTACTAATAACTTTAGTGGCAAGAGAATTTATAGGTAAGTAGGTAGGTAACCTAAATCTTGAAACGAAAATTTAAGAAATTTTGCATAACAAAAAATTTTGTGCAATTTCTTCTGCCTACACAATTTTTTCCATTTAGATGATAATGCAACCCATAATTAAAGTAGGGACATTATTCTGTATTCTACCCTAGCGCTGTTTATGTACAGCATTGACCTCTGAAAAATTACGTATTTATTATTATTCATACGTACAGACAATAGACAAGACATTGTAATTACTAATTATGTATGCATGGTACACAGAAATTTGTAAATCATTTGACTTTCATAAACATAATTTATTATAATAAAGATTTGTTTACATTAATAATAATTTATACTTATCGTTCTTCTTCTTCTTCTTATAGTGCCTCTTCAATGTTGAAGGTCGGCCGTCAGCTTCTTGTATTTCTCCTTATACTTATCGTTACTTACTTATAATTATAATTACTTTATTTATAATCGTTACGGGAGCGTTTCTTTGACCGCCTGAAAAAAGTACTTAATAGTCTTTTATCAGGCGGCAACAAGGTGCGCGCCTACAACGGTTGGGTCATGCCAGTACTCATGTACTCTTTTGGCATACTCAAGTGGACTCAAACGGAACTGGACACCCTGGATAGAAAAGTTCGTTCATTGCTGACTGAACATCGAATGCATCACCCACGATCATCGATAATGAGACTGTACATTCCGCGTAAATGTGGGGGGCGAGGCTTTTTAAATGCAAAAACCCTCCACAATAGTGAAGTGTGCAGTCGCCGAAAGTATTTTTTGAAAATGGACGTGGGGATGCATAGAGATGTTGTCGCTGTGGACAAAGGGCTTACTCCGCTCTCCTTGGCTAACGAGAACTGGAGAGAACCTACAATACTAAGCACTAATGATCGCAGGAATGTGTGGCAAAGTAAGGAGTTGCACGGACGCTACTATCGAGCCTTACATGGGCCAAATACGGATTTCTTAGCGTCCGTATCCTGGCTACGTTTCAGTAACTTATTTGGAGAAACGGAAGGTTTTGTCTGTGCAATTATGGACGAAGTTATGATGACAAACAATTATCGAAAATACATTATAAAGGATGGAACTGTTGATATTTGTCGGGCATGTCATCATCCCGGGGAATCCATTCGGCATATAATTTCGGGTTGTTCTCACTTAGCTAATGGAGAATACTTGCATAGACATAATCTTGTAGCCAGGATTATTCATCAACAACTTGCTTTGAAATATAAACTTGTAGAATCTGAAGTGCCGTATTATAAGTATCTGCCTGACCCAGTTTTTGAAAATGGAGATGTCACACTGTATTGGGATCGAACTATCATCACAGACAGGACAATTGTTGCAAACAAACCTGACATTGTGGTGATAGATCGACCAAGCCGTCGCACAATGATAGTTGATATAACAATCCCACATGACGAGAATCTTGTGAAAGCTGAAAAAGATAAAGCAAGTAAAAATCTTGATTTAGCTCATGAGATTGTCGACATGTGGGATGTGGATTCAGCAGTCATTGTGCCGATAGTCGTATCTGCCAATGGCCTAATTGCTAAAAGCCTCGACCAACATCTGAGTAGGCTAGCGTTAGATGGTTGGGTCAAGGGCCTGATGCAGAAAGCAGTACTTCTGGACACGGCGCGTATTGTCCGGAAATTCCTTTCTCTGGAGCCCTGACCACCGGTAGCTTGGATTTCTCCCGTTACTGGTGGGCTACTGCTTTTTATATTTTTAAATGTTTTTTTTTATATACATATAATGAAATATTTAAAAATAATATATAAATCAAGTATGAAAATAAATAAAGGAAATAATAATTTATACTTAATTTTGTTAATAATTGTTAAGTATTTTTTTCTTATAATTAGTATAACCAACCAGCCAGTTGATTGAACAGGATAATCTGTATTGAAATAAAAAATAAGTTTCTGAATTCTATGTATGTAGGTGCGGTCACAATTCCAGAAACACTTTTTTTATGGGCTAAGCCGGTAAACGACGGATCACTTGATGGTAAGCAATCGGCGTCGCCCATGAACACCTGAAACACCAGAGGCGTTACAAGTGCGTTACCGGGCTTTTGGGATTAGGAATGTGAGGATTGTTAGGGATAGGGGAAAGGCGGGGGGGGGGGCGTAACCAGGCCTCCGCACCAAATTCGTAGCGTAGTAATGACATATTAGAATATATGATTTTGCTAACTCTCCTACTCTTCCGCAAGTTTTATAACGGCGACTACGTAATACATATTTAACGATTGTGGCAAACCCTTCTTGGAACGAGACGCCCACGCTGGCACCGTCTGGTGGGTGGAGGTGCGGTAGGCCTCAACGGTATTAAACCGGCGGGTGCTGAAAATCAGCGCAATCGTGTCCGGGCCACAGCACTAAGCTGAGCTGAGCTCCGGCCTTTTGCGTTGCGACGCACCATAATATTCTTTTTATGTTTAGGTATTGTATTGTTGTCTGCATGTGTGTTGTGGCATATTAAACGGTTTTTCTTTCTTCATTCTTTCTTTCTTTGTTGAAGAAGCTTATAGTTCAGTAAAGTACTCTTACTGACTGTTAACGTGAATGCCAGTATGAAATGAGAAATGTTAGCGATTGATATAATTAAACTTTAATTATTTACCTGGTTCGAGATCTGGGGTATAAACTACAGCTTGATGCCAGCCACGCCATATTGCGTACTCCAATACGAAGGGCAGTGGCGCTAGCGTCGATTCTGGGCAGTATGCATCTAATGGCAACGCATGCGCAAGCAATAGTATATAGATTACATAATATTGATTCATTTTAGGCACTTAAATGCATTTTGTGCGAACAAAACGATTATAATTCTTAGACTAATTCACGTTGATTTTATGATATAAACGTCTTATTTTTTAAGCTTGTAATTGAATTTTGAATTATTTTCGTATGTTGTAGGGTATCTAATACAAAAGATAACTTTATACACTAAAATAACGAATAGTTTTCACACAACGTACCTACATAAAAGCCAATTAGATACTATCACTTAGTTTTGAACCACATAACTGACGTTCGTTCCGACAAAGTGACATCTATAAAATAGAGAAACAACCATTTTGATTAATGCATTCGAATTTCTATGGATGTGTCTCTTAGTTTATTCGAAAGTAATCAAAGATATTAATGAATGAACAACAATTAACAAAATCGATTAATAATATAACTCAGTCATGTCAATTTATGATTGATGTTGGCCTTTATTCCCATTAAATCACTTAGCTATTCTGAACACAAACTCCGTAGGTACAATAATTATTTATTATCTTGAAGAAGACATTCACTCAATAACTGTATGAACATTTGTTTATAATGTTATAAGTTTGTTGTTACGTACGTCCATTAGTTTTATGTATAAAAAAAATATTCAAAGCTTTTCTATCATATTGAGACGCATATGCAACGCGCATTTGGAAGACATTTTGGAGAAATTGAATAATACGTACAAACAAAATATACCTATTTAAAATCAACTTTTTATAGTGTTATAAACCACTTGTAAAACTAAGATAAAGTTTAACTTTAAAACGGCGTTTTAAGAATAACCAAAGTCGTTTGTTAAAATAATTCGAATAACGAAAATAAAATCGTCTGAAGATTAAAACATTAATTGATTTAATTTTAAATGACTTTCAGTACACAGACAACGTTGAATTTCGATACCCTACCGAGATTGAGCTGAAACTTCAAAGGCAAGAAATACGTTTTAGTAATAATCTCATTTTGTTTCAGTGAACAAAGATGGCCCCTATAACTTTTACGGAGACTGAGGTGATAGAACAGCCAATTCATGAGACTGATTACATACAATACAAGCTCTATCAGCCAGCAAAGGATACCAGAGACACCAATGGGATGAGCAACGGGAAATCATGTCAAATAAGTCCCTACGATCAAATGCTAAGCCCCCATGACCCCAAGTTCTTAGCCCCCATACGACGACTGGAGAAAAGCCTAGGATTTGTAACTCCGATTAGATGGTTCAATACTATTTCTATAAGCTTGATGCACATCATGGCGACTATTTGGCTCTTCAACTACATGTTCCTGAACAAAAGATCGCTAAAATGGCAGACTTTTCTATTTGGTAAGTCAAATTTTTTAATGAAATTTTTAAAACGCTAAATGAAATTTTTATTTATTCATGAATTTTCTGTAATGAATACCTACATAAGTCGATTATTGTTATTCTTAGAATTGTATCCAATTGGAACTGTAAAGCCGTATTGCAATTACTTTTCTTCAGCGTGAGTTCGCAAAATTTTCTCGAAAAATGTGAGTGCTACACAATTAAGCAATCGATCAGTCCGTGCAACCACTCAACCGATTGCCGATGAAGCCGATCAAATTGCAAACTTACCCCGAGTAGAAGTATCTAAAAGTTATTTTATTAAAATGTTTCAGTTGTATGTTAGTCTTGTAGGATAATTCATTAAGTACCAACCTTTATTTTTTCTGGCATAAGCCGGTAAACGAGCAGACGGATCACCTAAAAGGTAAGCAATCGGCATCACCCATGGACACATGGAACACCAGAGGCGTTACAAGTGCGTTACCGGCCTTTTGGGGATTAGGAGTTTGAGGATGGTGGGGGATTCGGGGATTGGGGAGATTGGGGAGGGAGAGGGGGGTAATTGGGCGTCCGGTAACCTCACTCACACGACGAAACACAAGGCTAGCGTTGTATCACGTCGGTCTTCAGTGAGGCCGTGGTATCACTCCGGTCGAGCCGGCCCATTCGTGCCGAAGCATCTCTTGTAATAAGTAAATACTTTTTTTAATTAACTCGTCGAGTACCGTCATTATAGACACAATTATAGAACAATAGGTTGCGGTCACCGGTGACCGCTTGGTGTTTGACAGTTTAAAATCCTGATCGCCGTTACCTAACTCGCTATGTCATAAATATAGTGTTTTTTAATATTGACATTGAATTTGCGCTTATTAAGATGAATTGAACACAGTTATAATTAAGAAAAATAAATACTTAATCGTACAATTATATCAGAACCACAGATAATTAAAAATGTTTCAGTTATCAGAAGTACCTATCATAATTATAAATTCATTTCCGTAAATACACATAAGTAATATGAAGACTATGATTGTATTGGTGGTTGTTAACACGATATTGCCAATTTACGTCCTGTAGCAATAATTATGTAGGTAATTATGTGTGTTTTCGATATGTTGTTTGGTTCTGTGTAGGTACCTACTCATATTTGGCACTATTATTTTAGACTAGGCACTAACTTTATGGGTATTATTTGTGTCGCGGAGAACCTAACGGGTAACCGGGGCTCCGACTCGACGTGCAGGAGAAGGAACGGGGTGGTTTTTAGTCAGTAAGAGTCTGACACTCTCTTCCGCCTCACCCAGGCGGGAGCAGTCATTCGATGATTTTCCCCCCTTAAAAAAAAATGGGTATTATGTACTTATAAAGATATACAAATATACAGCATGATTTCTTATTACAGCACAATCTCATATGTAGGAACTAATAATGATTATTATTTGTAGAACAGTTATCAACCCGCATTGAGCAAGCGTGGTGATTAATGCTCAAACCTTCTCCATGTGAGAAGAGGCCTTTGGTCAGCAGTGGCCACTTGTAGGTTGTTGATGTGTGCCTGTGTGGTGTATTATTACAACAGTTTAATTGCCTTTGTTACTTTCTCGTTTTTCAGGATACATTTTCGGCCTAGTAGCAGGGTTCGGGGTAACGGGCGGCGCACATCGATTCTGGTGCCATCGCTCATACAAAGCAACACTACCTTTGCAATGGATTCTTGTCTTGTGTTATTCAGTGGCTGGTCAGGTAAGAAACACATTCCACATACAAAATTGCGTATACATATTTTATACTCATTCTATTTGATGATACGCAAAGTTTTATGTACATACTTATACCTATTTCTTACTTATCATTTTTCGAAAAATTGTATTCTTACGTCATTGTGAGTATAGTTAAGACACGTTGACGCTCATAGTAGATTACGACCACACTTTGGTTGTTCCCTGAAGAGCCAAAAAGATAGTATGAAACTTTAAACTTTATTTCCTAAGTTTGTTGTTATTTTTTGCTATGTTGAATATCATCGGTACTTTGACCGTAAGTGTGTCTAAAGTATAATTATACTCACAGAACACAATCTACGAGTGGGTTCGGGATCATCGAGTTCATCATAAATTCTCGGAAACGTCAGCAGACCCTCATGATGCCAACCGTGGATTCTTCTTCTCCCATGTCGGCTGGTTGATGATGAAGAAGCACCCTGACGTGTTGAAGCAAGGTGTCAAGATTGATATGAGTGACATCATCAATGATCCTCTTGTTCAGTTTCATACTAGGTTAGTATTTAACTTAAACTAAGGTAAGAAAACGAGGTAAAAAACCAAGATAATCCCTAAAGTGATTATCTTGGTTTTTTAAGAACTAAAATAAGTGTTCGAGAGCCATGCTGCTCGGCACGAATGGGCGGGCTCGACCGGAGTGTTACTACGGCCTCACAGAAAACCGACGTGAAGCAACGCTCGCGTTGTATTTCGTCGTGTGAGTGAGGTTACCGGAGGCCCAATTACCCTCCCCTTCCCCAATCTCCCCAATTCCTGAATCCCCAACGATCCTCAAACTCCTCATCCCCAAAAGGCCCATAACGCACTTGTAACGCCTTTGGTGTTCCAGGTGTCCATGGGCGACGCCGATCGCTTACCATCAGGTTATCCGTCTGCTCGTTTACCGGCTTATGTCATAAAAAAAAAACTAAAGCAAGTTGACTCTTGGCTTTAGGCGTTATGTTTTTTTTATGAAATGTTTTATCTACCACCAGTCACTAGGTTAAGTCTAATCCGTAGAATTGATTGTCGAGTTTGTTGACGTCACAGTAATATTATAGATGTAAAAGTTTCTTTGTTTGGATGTTTGGCCGTCATTCACACTGAAACTACAGAACGGATTTTAAAGAAATTATAGGTAAAGAATATACAAGCAGGGTATTAGCTGACTTAGGGGATTTTTTTAAGGGCGAAAAATCATCGAATTACTTCTCCCGCCTGGGTGAGGCGGGAGGGAGTGTATCAGACTCTTACTGACTAAAAACCACCCAGTTTCTACTCCTGCCCTTCAACTCGGAGTCCCGGCAACCCGTTAAGTTCTCCGCGGCTCCATATCGGCATCAGCCCTATTAGGCCCAATCCGTGGTGGTCTGATAGCTCTTTGAGGCGCGCGCCCACGCGCCCAACGGCGAGCCACCCATGTTCGCCGTCCGCCCGCGCTTACGGAGGCCGGAGATCGTTGAAGGGTACTTTTTATCCCGATTAAATGCTCTCATGGGATAAAACAGGAATCATAGGTACTTTACGTGGACGAAGTCGCGGGCAACAGCTAGTGTGTTTATATGTATAGTAATATTTTTAACTCGGAAACATCTGGATTGGAAATGATGTTAACTGATTATAACATCTAAAGTCGACATTAGGTAATTTACAACATTACTTTCATTACCTTCGCAAGCAATAGTTAAATAGTTATAGGTAATCAAATAGTAATACATTAGTATAAATTTGTAACTTTGTTTATGTACAACATGGAACTATTTACAACACATTACTTACTTCAACTTTTTCTTTGTTTCCTCGAAATACCTTAAGTAGTATCTACTATGCTAAAATAAAAGTAATAACTTTTCCAAAGGTCGTTATGTTACCTACTTAATTCCGTAGGTGGCTCGAAACATACAGGAAATTACTTTTGTGAGTTCCATGAACTTGTAGTAATTTATAGAATAATCGAATTTATTATTCCACAAATGATAATACGGAACAAAAATATTTTCTGGATCGGTAATTTAATTACGTAGGCGCTCCGTCGATATTTAGCTTTGCGTAAACAATTTTTAACCGACTTAAAACAACGAGGTTCTCAGGTTCACCTTTTGTGTATGTTTTTCGTGATTATCTTATTATTATTATTCGCTAAACCAATTATAATGCGATTATCAGAAAAGTGTTTGTTATCCTTAGGTGAAGTTATTAGTATATTAATTAACCGAATTCAAAATAAGAGGAGGTTGAAAGAATTATTTAAAGAACTGTTCTAAGGTCAAGCCCCCAATTTAAATAGGTTCTTGTTATATTACAGGCACTTCATGCTATTCAAGATTTTATGCTGCTGGGTCCTACCATCGTTGGTACCTGCCCTCTGCTGGAACGAAACCTGGGAAGTTTCCATAATGTCGCAGGCAGTAATCCGGTACTTGTTGAGCCTCAACTTCACCTGGTCTGTCAACAGCTTCGCACATCTGTGGGGCAACAAACCTTATGACAAGTATGACCTATTTTTGAGTACTTGTGAATTAAATTAAGGGAGTTTTTAAAAGGCTAGCCCATGTACGTACATAGCAACTAACTAAATGCTACTAAAAATCTCAAAACCTCAAAAGCAATTTGTTCAGTCTAAAATCAATCTAAACCTTTATTTTCCTAATTAATTTCCGGGAAACCGAATACAGTTCAATTAAATGTACAAAATTCAAGTTAGTAACTGGTTATTTCCTGATTGATGATTTCAGAAACATAATGCCTGTTGAAAATTGGGGAGTTTCCGTGGTAGCGATGGGTGAAGGTTGGCACAACTACCATCATACTTTCCCATGGGACTACAAGGCAGCTGAACTAGGAATACCTATGAACATGACCACCACAATATTAAATTACTTCGCAAGTATCGGTTGGGCTTACGATTTGAAAGAAGCATCTCCAGCCCTTGTCAGGGCAGTTGCAAAGGCCCGAGGAGAACCAGCCGAAGATTAAAGCTGCCGCCAGCGACATCTATGGAAGAAATCTATTACATCGTCTCGTTAGCTTAAATAATAGGGATCAATGTTGGATCGATAACAAATGTTTTAAATGTGGTCAAATAGGTATTTTAGTTTTAAGGGCAAAAGTGATCTTAGGTATTATTTATTACTAAATAAATTATGTACTTGGTATTCTTCGGTAAATTAAGTTGTAAGGTTAAGTTTTTGTGATTGCCTAGAAGGCGTTAGGGAAGGTGAGGATAATTGAATTTCAACACTTAATTGTTTGTGGTTTGGTATAAAACTAAACTTTATAAATGGCTTATGTATGACTTTAAATATTTGTAAAACTTATACTATGTCGTTTAGGTAGGTATAGCCAAGACAGTCACAATTATAATTTTGCTGTGAACAAACTAGTTAATCATTCCATTATAAGTTTTTAATAAAGTCGTACGAGTATGTACAATAACTATTTTATGAAGTTAAACAAATTGTGTATTTGAGAATGCACATAAATATTTTTATGAAGGTGTTTTTGTGAATACACGTTTATAATACAGAAAACGTTTTTTTACTTTATACCTCGTCTACATTTAAGTGTCTAGATCTAAAACATAATATTACGTCTTTTATTTCTCTAAGCCGCAAGCAGATATGCACATTTCTTTTTAAACATTGCCCCACTCTAGGATTTTCTTCTGTGTCATGGCACAAACGTATATTTTCGATAAATACTTTTTTGGGTAAATACTCGGTTAGATCAATTTTTATACAATTTGAATATTAAAAAAAAAAAACACCCATGTCTATTCCGGAAACACCTTGCTTGTTAGAGTATAATCGAGCTCGACCCGTGATGCATGTGTTGATGCAGTGTCAGTATTATTTTTTTTATTATATTTACACTAACAAACAAATTGCATTACGTTTCATATTTTGAAAGACTCTTTTTTGTTTTGTAAATAGTCAATTTAATATGAAGATTGGTCCTTTGAAAAGTTTATAGTTGGAAAACCATAATATTAAATTGGTTTTGCTCAGCAAGGACGTTGAAAAAAAGGCGGATGTACTTAATTAGAAATGATCGAAGCCCCAAAATGTCAGTGGTGTATTTATTTGTGCGTGTACTTGAAACTTCGATCCTTGTCGATCGATCCTTGTCTGTGTAATACTCTCATTAAGAGTGCTGTAACAAATACTTTCCTTTGTCTGTTAAAAACCTCAAATTGAACCAAAAAGTAATAGAACTATCACCGAGTATTATGACGGAAGCTAAGGACGGAAGTGAATACTTCTTGAAATGCTTTCGAAATTAATAAGTGTCCGTTCTATAGAAATGTTTGTGATAAATGTTATTAAATGAACAAAGAATTATAATAAATCATCGTCCTTTTTGCTCCGAGTGACTTTTCTGTTTTTAACGCATATTTAAACGTAAGAATGTGAAACAACTACAGAAAACCAGCATGAAAAAACGCTTGTGTTGCTTTTTGGGAATTGGGAATTTGAGCATTGTGAAGGATTCACGGATTCGGGTGAAAAGGGAGGCGGTAATTGGGCCTGCGGTAACCTCACTCACACGACGAAACACGACGCAATTGTTGTTTCACGTCGGTTTTCTGTGAGGCCGTGGTATCACTCCGGTCGAGCCGGCCCATTCGTGCCGAAGCATGGGTCTCCCACACTTTCCCACACACACTAATATAATAATAAGAAAAAAATTGCATTAGAGTTCTAAGAAAAAGCAATGAACTGTAGTCACAACAATTAGCGCCTGACAAAATGATTACGGCAATTTGTTAAGTTTAGGAGAGCTATACTTCGGCACGAAAGGGTTGGTCGACCGGAGTGATACCACGGTCTACCAGAAACCCGCTTGCCTTGTGTTTCGTGATGTGAGTTAGGTTACCGGATTTAACCGGCCCAATTACTCCCCCTCCCGCTATTAACCAATCCTTAAATCCCCAACATCCCTCAAATCCCTAATCCCCAAAAGACCGTAATGCACTTGTAACGCCTCTGGTGTTCCAGGTGTCCGATGGCGATTGGTTATCATCAGGTGATCCGTCTGGTCGTTATCCGGCTTGTCCAATAAAAAAAATTGTGCTAGGATTGTACAGTAAACAATTGTTAAATACTAGTTTCTACATCCGGATGCTTGTAAAAATCAATTAAATATAAAGTTAATATTAAGGAAAATATAGCTTAAGATTTGTCTCTGAATCTGCTTCTTAATTGTATTTTATTCTAAGGTCAAAGCGTGACTGGGTAATAGACAGACATCAATAAATCCCTTACAAACTTCCACAATTGTTTTAACCTGTCGTGTGACTAAACGTGGATCGACGCGAGACACAATGTATTTTCTATTGTAAATCAGTCAAAAAAGTACCGGGAAGAGATGATTTGTTTATGGTTCCAAATTCAATTTTTGTTTTGTTTTGTAGTTGTTAGATTGGCACAACTGTTTTCCATTTTGGCGTGGAGTTGAAGTTGCATCTGTTATTTATATTAAATACAGTGCTGGTTTTAGTAATATCATAATATAGTGTGTATTGGGAATTTCATAACAAATGGACAAAATATCGAACAAAGAGTTGGTCTTAAATTTTGCATCGCCAATGGAATTTCGTGTTCGGAGTCACTGAAGACTTACGGTGAATCGACTTTATCAAAAAATCGTACTTATGAGTGGTTCAAAGCGTTCAAAAGCGGTCGAGATGTGATGGAAGATTTGCCTCGGTCTGGTAGGTCGTTAACGTCTGCAACTGAAGTTAACATCGCTAAGGTGAAGGAAATAGTGACTGAAAATCCCCATTAAACTCTGAGAGAGATAGCCGCGCAACTTTCTATATCTCACGAGTCGATCCGTACCATTTTAATTAATTATTTGGGTACGAAACATGTCGCTGCTCGGCTAGTCCCAAAAGATCTTAATTTTCTCCAAAAACTCAATCGCATGAAAATCGCTGAGCACATGCTAGAACGATTCTGTTCAGACCCATCATCCATGAAACGGATTGTTACTGGTGACGAGACGTAGGTTTACGAGTTTGACATGCAAACTAGTCAACAAGCTTCGGAGTGACGCCTTCCAACTGAACCGATTCCGAAAAAACCACGCCAAAGTCGATCAAAAGTCAAAGCCATGTTGACTGTTTTCGTTGACTATTGCGGTATTGTGCACTCTGAATTGTTACCGAAAGGTCTAACGGTAAATAAAGAATATTATTTGAGCGTTATGCGGCGTTTAAGAGAGCAAATTCGACGAAAAAGGCTTAGATTTGTGGAAAGAAAATTCTTGGATTTTCCACCACGACAATGCGCCTTTGCACAAGGCTATCATTGTGAACGAATTTTTGACCAAACACTCTCCACATACCATCTAGGAACCACCATATTCACCAGATATGGCTTTTACTTACTTTTTCTTTTTCCTTAATTCAATTTACCACTTCGTGGCACCCATTTTCAATCGATTAGAAGACACAAAGGAGAATTCGCGGCGAGACCTAAACTCAATTCAGGAAGCAGCGTTTAAAAAATGTTTTGATGAATAGATTATTCGTTGGCGCAAGTATATCGTTTCTAAAAAAGCATACTTTGAAGGTGATAAAATAAATTTGGACGAATAACAGACATTTTGTGTATTATTGATCTTTTTGTCCCGTTACTTTCTTGACAGATTTGTATCTTATATACAGGCATTTAAACGGTTAATACTAGCTTTAGGGCCGATTTTTCATCACTTAATTATTATCTGTGGAATATAATTGACATTTGACAGTTTTTAATATGGAAGAATTGTCAAATATTAAGTAATAAGTAATTTGAATTTTTCTGCCGTTTGAAAAATTGTCTTTATACTTTTGTATTGAATTGAAATGTGTATACGTTATCGGGATAAAAGTAGGTACCCAAAGTGGTGTCCAGGATATTAACATAGGTATAATCATACCAAGTTTCATCGTAATCGGACCGGTAGTTTGTGCGTGCTGCGTGAATATACAGACAGACAAACATTTTTTTAATTACATTTTTGGTTTCGGTGTCTATCTAGTAACAGTATTTTTTATTTATATTTTTAATGTACAAAATTTACAATTTTACAGTTTTATTATATGTATAGACTAGCGACCCGCCCCGGCTTCGCACTGGTGCAATATGTATGTATTATACATACATATTGCACCACCATTATACATTAATATGTATGTATTATACAAACCTTCCTCTTCAATCACTCTATCTATTAAAAAAAAAACGCATCAAAATCCGTTGCGTACTTTCAAAGATTTAAGCATACAAAGGGACATAGGGACAGAGAAAGCGACTTTGTTTTATTTATACTATGTAGTGATATATTACTAGCTTTTGCCAGCGGATCCGCTCGCTTTTCCGGGGGTTAAAAGTAAAATACAGTCCAAATGATTAAACAATACACCTTTATTTTATGAATATTATAATATAATTTTGATATCATTACTTTTATTGGTACTTCATAATACATAATAATCTAATATATATGAATTTTTATCACTTCTAGTCTAAAAAACATCTCACAAAATCCTTTGAGAATCAAATAACAAGTAAGATCAAGCCTAAAACATTCACTTATTTTCTTTTTATAATTTCAAAATATCTAGTGTTTATGTAGATATTAAAACGTGCCAAATGATTAAACTTATTTTTAAAGACATAATGATACAGTGGTTGTCGAGGTATATCGTTTTCTATATGGATGACATAGTTATAAAAATATATATTATTCACCCTGATCCTCTTTAATTATAAGTATTAAACAAATTATCGACTAATTTTAACAAAGAACTAACCAAACTGTGTTACATTTGAAGTCAGTTTGCAAATCTATGATTTTAATAATCTGTGTCAACTAGTCAACTAAATCAAAGATGGCCCACTATCAAAATGACAGTTGAAATGATACAAAGTAACACAACATGGCTGCAGGTACATACACCTCAAAGTTTTAGCTCACGCCTTGTTTTTAACAAAAACTTTAAGAAATTAGTGTCGACTGTGTCTATTATTATAAGTATAATATTATAAACAATAATGTAATCTACACTGTAGTAGTCACACTTGTACTTATATTTAACAATAACAAATAAAGATTTTAATAATATTATTTGGACAGAACAATGTGTAAAGATTTTAACAAAAGTAAAGCGTTTAACAAAATACATTTTCATGTCACAATGACAAAAGTATTATTAATAATAAGTACTTATTAAATACTAATCTAAGATTCAATTAGTATTGAAACTATCTCGATTGGAAGTACTTAACAGATTGTAATAAGTACGATGACATTTAACGTAGGTATTAATGATATAATAATAATACACCCTGTGCAGCAAGCATAATGTAGAATATAATTATGGCAATTTCTGACTTATTACGAATACGAAGATTTATTTTCTATTGCTAAAAATCTACAAGAACAAGTTATACGTTGTCCTGTGAAATTAAAATTTCGAATTACTACATTATTTTGAATTTCGGTCCTTTTTCACCCCAATCAGTATGTCATTTAGACAATAGAGTGTTAACACAAATTGTACTAAATACTCGTGTGTTAAATATGATTATATAATTTTAAATACATTATAAAAGTCGTGGTTTGTATATTTATCTTTTGGTTTATATTAATACATTACTCCAATAAAACGTATTTTTCCAATATTTTGCACAAGTTTCGAGATATTTTTGGAAGTATTTCATTCGGCGTGACATTTTTCTGAAGTTGGGTATGGCTCTTCGGACTCTCCAAAAGTCCCGTCTCCACATCGTTTAGCCCTGTTCGATATCATATCGGTTGTAGCAGCTTTTACTGAAACAAAATAATTACCATATTTATTCATTTTATATTTTCATATTGATAGTTTGAAATTCCTCGGCCGTAAGGATATGTTGTAATTCTTAATAAATGTTAATATTAGGTACCTATATACTAAGTATTATGTTGCAAATGTTTAATCTGTTGCAATTATTTTGCCTGTCCCTTCGGGGAATTATTGTTATGTGTTTGTAGGTATATTTTATGTATAACAAATAATTAAATATGCAGCTCTGCCTATCTCTTCTGAGAATGAGGTTTATATTTTGTATGTAAGTATGTATTTTGTATGTATATTAAAATAATGATATTGTCTACTGTTGCATAATGATAAGTATGTATTTATGTTTTTAGAAATAAGATGTCCCCCTACAAGAATAATGTACTTACATTATAGAATATAACTAAATTATTACATTAATTTATTTAACCTTGGTCAAATATTATATTAAATTTATAAAGATTTAGTCAACTTTAATTTGATAGACAAATTAATCAGATAATTAGTCTGTGGTCAAATTGTACAACATTGGTCAAATGCCTAATGATGAAGTCATTAAATAAATAAATTAAAAATTAAAATTCTTGAATATAAGTCAAAATTATACATAAAATTGTTGTACGTTGAATATTGAATATACATTTACTACCAGTTTGTCAGAATGCAGCTATCTCAATATGTTGTCATTTAAATAATCCTTTATTGTGTAATATGCTTTATTTATCAAGAACTGCTTTAGTTTAAGTTTAAAGAGATTGATAGCTGAAATATTCTTAATACTATTTGGTATCTTATTATAAATTATCACTCCAATTCCAAATACACTAGATTTAAATTTAATTGTCCTACATCTAATTCCTGATAATTCATTTTTATGTCGTGTACTTCTAAGTATTTCATATTTGTTGATATCGCTTTTTACCATTATTGCGGCTTCATAGATAAATAGTGAAGGCAGAGTTAAAATTTTTAATGTCCTGAACATGTCTTTGCATGACTCAGTCTGTTTAAGTCCCGTCATACTTCTCAGACACTTTTTTTGTGCTTTAAAAGCTTTTTCTTTTTCAGTAGAATTTCCCCAGAATAGTATACCATATTTTAGTATGGAACCCACATATGCATGATAAGCGTTTAACAGTGCATTCTCGTTTACCACTTTCTTGAGCATGTAAAGGGCATAGGAATGTTGATTTATTTTTGTACAAATTTGATCAACATGGAGTTTCCAGTTAAGTCCATTGTCTATATGCATACCTAAAAATGTTGTAGCGGTGAATTCGTTAATAGTTTCGCCATTGTAGCTTATCTGTAACGTTTTTGATTTTGTATTTTTGTTTGTAAATGTCATGTCTTTTTTGACTTTTGAATAATATTTCCTAATGATCTGTTTATATTTTCTATCGTCTCTTTCTATCGTCAGTGAAAATGGCAGTGCTATCATCCGCGAATAATATAATTTGCTGATTAATTACTTTTGGGAGATCATTTATATAAATAATAAACAAAAGGAGTCCTAGGATACTTCCCTGGGGCACTCCATACTGGACTGTTGGGTTTTGATTTGACATATAAGTCTACTCAAGACATGTATTAATTTTCATTCGAGTTTTTACAGTTATTTGGAATCTGTTACTTAGGTATGATCTGATGAGATTTAGTGCATTTCCTCTTACTTCATATTTTTCTAATTTAGTCATGTGGATCATCAGATATTAATATCTGATGTCAACAGTAATTTGACGAGGAACTCGACTAGTTTCAAGCCATGGTAGAGGCTCATATTCATGAGCAGCATTTCGCAACCCGCGAGTCACTGGCGAGTTGATGTATTTTTAGTTCGCCTATTCGCCGCAATTTGGTATTGCTGGCGCTAGTTGTCGTACAATATGATAGGTCCAAAGGTCATATTTTGAATATTTTTTCTAAACGGTATTTCAATTTTGTTTTTCCTATAGAATTCACTAACCTTTGATGGGTATTGCGCAGGAACTTGTTATTAAGCCGTGTTGAATGTGACTATTTCAGTTTCAAACACAGGTTATTTGTTTTTAAATCGTTCTAGCACTTTTCAATATATTTCGTAAAAAAATTGTTTCAATTGTTATATCACCAAATATATAGTCACATTTAATATCATTTGTAAATCAGAGCCTTTATAGTCCATCGCACTACTATGTTTATTGATTTCGTTGCTATTTAATTTATTTACGTTATTTATATACGCGGGTTTTGTTTACAGCGCCCCAGTTTATTAATGTTTGTTTTCTGATAAAGAACAAATCTGAAGCTGTACCGTGTTGTTTTCTATTTTTTTAGTAGATTTTAATAACATAACATAACATCACGCCTTTTATCCCTGAAGGGGTTTTTTTAAGGGGGGAAAATCATTGAAAGACTGCTCCCGCCTGGGTGAGGCGGGAGGGAGTGTCAGACTCTTACTGACTAAAAACCACCCCGTTCATTCTCCTGCACGTCGAGCCGGAGCCCCGGTTACCCGTTAGGTTCTCCGCGACATCCCCGAAGGGGTAGTCTAAGGTGCACATTATACCACTGTACAATGTAACACACACTTTTTACTATTTATGTTATGAGTCCCATGTGATAGGGGGTGAGCCTATTGCCATATACCGGGCACAATTCCAGACTCCATGCTACTACTGAGATTTTTTTAAAAACCCAGTAATACTTTGCCCGACCCGGCACTCGGCCAACGAGGCAGTCTTCTTTTTCAGTCAGATTTCAATGTATATGTTTCATTTACTTGCATCATTTAGAGATTTATACATTCTACCTCTATATAAAATTATGACATATTTTAGGAACTGAAGCAATGGTTGTTTTGAAAGCCAAGTTAATCGCCATTGCGCTGTCAATTTGATGGTGACATTGTAACTTCCTGACACTCTTCTTCTTAGTCGCCCTCTTCATTACTGAATATCGCGTCCAGTCAGCAGACTAGACACGACTTTGAGGGCACGCGTCACTTGATGCACAACCCTCCTCCAAACGCCTCTGTCGTCTGCGGTCTTTATGGCTTGTGGAACTGTCAGGCCGGTTAGGTTTTTACAGCATCTCACTACAGGTAAGCAACCACGAGGTCTTTTCCCGTTAACCTGACTACACAAGCAGTAAATTGTTAACAAATAAATACTAGTGCTTGCAGACCGTGCTTTCACAAGTATGAACTTGTGGAAGCATGGTCTGCCATTTACAGTTTCATGTAATTACTCTGTTGTGTATTGCGCTGTGTTTCTGTTTTGTGTACCTCTTGAATGAATAAATAAAACAAGCTTCTCCAGATTGTTAAGGTCTCTACGCGCAATGTGGTCAAAATAGGTGAGTATTCGCTGCAGGCTGTCCACCGTATAACAGCCTCGTAATAATTCCAATTTCCTTGAGAATGGAGACGTTGGTGCGACTAGCGGTCTAAGGAATACAGAGCATACCTACGTCTCCAGCACCACATTTCAAAGACGTAAATTTTAGCTCTCTCACATTCCTTGGGGTCCACAATACAGCCATATAAGAAAATTGATAAAACCAGCGTGCAGCACACCAGCCTCACTTTGACATAATAAGTTTCGGTGATTCGACATAATATATTTCGGTCCTTCCATATCTTGGTGAGTTTCGTCATTGCTGAATTGGATACCTGGATTCTCCGTCTGATCTCCCCGTAGCTGCCACCCCCACTATTGATAAGAGAGCCCAGATACATAAACCGATCCACAAACTCCAGGTCTCTGAGTTCATGTGAGTGAGTGTGTGACCCCATTCTGTCTACGGCGAACACTTTGGTCTTGTTTTTATTTAGGGAGAGACCAACCAGTTCGCTTTCCTTCTCCATTCTGGCAATCAACACAGCCATCTCGCTCTCGGACAATGCAAACCAGTTACCAGCAATACAATCGAACGATAGCTTTCGTTCGCATACCTTAGGTTGCTGATTATACTGCCACCAACACACGCTCCACTCGCCCACACCTCCAGAGTTCGTCACATTATGTATTAAAGAGGATGTGCGACAGGATACAAAGATGTATCCAGCTGGACTCCCTTCCGAATCCCAAATGAATACGACAGGATGTTGTTTACTTTCACTACGGTGCTTCCGTCCTTGTAAAGATTAGCAATGAGAGCCACAAGGTGTTTCGGCACTCCCATGCTTCATGACAAGAAGGCCATTATTAGCCAGCCTGTAAATGCCTCGATCTTTTAATATAAACACCATTGTCTATTATTTTTTTGTACGGGATAGATTATTTATTTTCCACTGGTGCGTATTTTGTTCTGTTCTATATCGAAATTTTTGCGCAGTGTGTTTCGTACGGGCACAATTTAATAACTGTTTTTTTTTATTATTTAACAATTACTCTAACGTCCATCGCCGAAAACTCCGAGTATTTTTATTTTAACGTCTATATTATTGTGCGTCATCTAAAAAGTTTATAATGTTACATGTCGAATTGATTACTGCTGCAATATTCTGTGATAGTAAAGACAAGACAATAGTCCACTTACTTTTTCTAGAATATAAAAATAATACTTACAATCATAAGCCCATCCAATCTTGGCGAAGAAGTCAATAAACCCTGTGGAAATGTTCAGTTTGCCCAACTCCGAGGTCCTGTAGTCCCAGGGAAACACATGGTGGTAGTTGTGCCAACCCTCACCAAGAGCTGCCAAACTTACTAGACTATTCTCCACCGATTTCACGAACCTGAACAAAAAAGATGGTCTAAAATGAAAGATTACCATTGTAAACTCGTCTAAGAAAAAAGTCTCGTCTCGTAGTCTAGATTTAACTCAACTAGTAAAAACATTTTTAAGGTGGATTACAAGTAGGTAGACGTTTTAAAGTTCCATCCATTATTTAAGACTTCACTTCTTAATTTTAATTACTTTCCATCCGTCTGTGGGAGGTGTTTTACCCTCGTCTCTGGGAAACCACATAAAGCCATATTGATTCTGTGGCAGACATCTCCAGACCTGTCGGATTACTGATTCATCGGATGCTACGACCGAGGTAACAGAAGGTTAAACATTACCAGCGTGTCGTGGTACCGTAACTGTAGTCACTCTACCCGGTTGCAAGAATTTCGCGAGCTCTGTGTGTCTCTAACCCATATTAAATGTATGAAACTGATACGCTTCAGAAGCACAACGACACTCTAGGCTTCGGTAATGTATATCTGCCTTTATGAACATACTTGTGCACTATAAAATATCTCAAGCGCAGTGTATAAATCCTGATCATATTGATCGCCATGACCGAGGTCAATAAGGGGGCTATTATACCTCTAATATTACTGGCAGGGAAAGAATATTTCTAATTTATCTTTATGCTCAGATATTTAATTTTTACCTAGTACTCATTCAATAGGGATTACCCTTAATTAATTACCTTGATTCATTTTCATACACTGTCTATTAAGCCTGTGTATGAAAATTAAAAAATATAATTAGTCCGTCAGTTAGATAATGAATGAATATAAGAAACATATTTTAATTAAGATAATCTACGACGTACATTAAAATAACATTTAGGATACTAACATATTAGTTTATGTTCAAAGAATGAATTCCAAAAGAGTATCTATCGAATACGTTTCTAAGAACTTGTAAAAGTTAATTAATAGTCAAATTTTCTTCTAATACAGTAAGCCACTTAAATTAAGCACCACAGTCAATTACATTTCGCAGTTCTTGGTAAAGATAACTAGAATAGAATAGAACTATGTATTTAGGACGTAATTGAAATCTAATTTCAGCCAATTAAGTTGCTGGTGAAACGTGCCAAAACGCGTCTGAGTTAAAGCTTTATAAAGTAAATGAAAAAAATATATATTTCCAACTTACAGAAATATCTTAAAAAAATAATAGAAAAAATGTCTTGTTGCTGCTGAATTTTCTTAATATAACTCTTATCATCTTAATGTATGTGCGTTCTGTAAAAAACTTGAGATTATTCGCAGTATCGAACAATTATCTACTATGTTTTTGCATTAGGACTTTAGTTAAATGTTTTCATAATCTCTTTGTAATTGGGCCTTCCTAAGGTCCTTCGTTGACAGACGAGCTACATCAAGACTTCTATAGTTAGTATTATATAAAAACAAGCGGCTAAAAACAAAGTACGTGAGAAAACATAAATGCTCGGCTTTATTATTTTTGTAGTATTGTGCGGTGTACACGATAGGAAAAACAATGCTAACAATATCAGCAATTTACGATATTGCTCGTAAAATACGTGCTGGCTACTTCCTATATGTATGTAAGTATAATTTTATGGATAGTAAACCGTAATGAAGCGACTGGAAGTAATATCATTACTATGCAGTATCCTTGTAATAGTATTGAACTGAAGGTAATATTTTTCATGTTACGAGGTTTTTTGAAAACCCTTGAAATATATAGCTATTAATATATTTCTGAGTGATTTCATTTGGATCCTAAACTAATGTTGACTTTGTTGAATATCCTGCACACGACATTTTTTAATAGTTTAACCTACATTAGTGATTTGAAAGTCGCACCCTGACTCAATCTTACTTTATTTATTTTCTTTACTTGTTTACTTGGTTGGTATATTTTAAAATATTTGATTTATATGTTTATGTTAATTAATATATATAAAACAATGTTTTTATAACATTTTAAAATATAAAAAGCAGTGGCCCACCAGTAACGGGAAACTAAGCTACGGTTAGGGCTTCAGAGAGAGAATTTCCGGACAATTCGCGACGTACTTAATTACAATCCAACTTTAATTATTACAATGTTGATAATTATACCTAACGTGCTGTTTATTTCACAAGAAGCTACACTTTTATTTGAAATTGAATTGAAAACTGAATTTTGAGACTAATTGAGACACAAGTGTATGTGTCGATTGTTGAGAAAAAGATATATTTTTCTTGTTCTTGAATGGCAACCGAGACATCAATTTAATATAGTCGATTATAAACTGATTTAATTTATTCTAAAAGTTTTACGTGTCGATTGTATTTTTTTTCCATTCGATTTTTAGAAAAGACTTCATCAAATATTAAATTTTTGAAGTATTCAACAGTTATAAAGCTCTAAGCTCTTATAGGGCATAATATATAGGGCAGAATAAATTTTATTTAATTAAAGTTTTTAGAAATACAAAGAGTGAGTAGGTACCCTCTCACCAGCTGGTAGTTTTGTAACGATCTACATTACAAATAAATAATATAATATTAGTTTACATTTAATTTTGTACATACGTCGTAATTTTCAAATTATTATGATGTGTAAAATTTAAAGACCAAAACCACAAAGTCTGGTTTTTAGGTATTACAAAATCTATTTTACTCTCAGAATTTTGTTATTAAATAAACAAAATAAAAACGCTTAAAAACAAGTCACAAGCTAACAAAAATACCCACAAAAATATAAAAAAAATACTGCACGTCTCTTACCTGTCATAAGGTTTATTGCCCCAAAGATGAGCGAAGCTGTTGACGCAGAAGGCGATGTTCAGCGTGATGGTGAACCTCATAACGAAGCTGATGACGAAACTGTTTATCAGGGTCTCGTTCCAGCAGTACCATGGCACCCAGATAGGTATAGCGATGTTCAACAACGCGAACAATGGAATGAAGAATCTAGAAGAAATGAAACAACATTATGTACATTTCCTATGTATTAGTGTAGTCATAATAGTCGTATGGAAGAGTCTTGCTTCAGTATGAATGGGTCGGAGTAATACTACGACCTCACAAAACCGACGTGAAACAACGCTTGCGTTTTGTTTCGTCGTGTGACTCTCTACCTCTACTGACTGTGGAGATGGAATCACAATCATAAAGGACAGTGTGGAGATGGAATCTCCATCTCCACAATCATAAAGGACATTGTTAAAAATATCTTATGAATGAACACCCATGAAACATTCTTTATAATTCTTAGTTCTTTTAATAACATGTATGTTATATGTGATGTATCACAGAACATCTAAAGACATACATTACAAATATTTTTATAGAACGGACAATTTATAGTCCGCAAGTATTTACTTCCGTCCTCAGCTTCTGTAATAATAATATAGTTATAATAATATAGTTCTATTACTTTTAGGTTCAATTTGAGGTTTTCAACAGACAAAGGTATTATTGCTCATACAGCCAAGTCTTTGTAACAGCACTCTTAATGAGTGTGACACAGACAAAGATCAGTATTCTCAACACTTGATTTAGAATGATAATTTTTAGTTACAAACAGTCCGCTATGATGGCATAGAACCAGAGCACGGCTTAGCAAAAACTCGATTGAAAGCGCTATTTGAAACGAGCAATACCTCTAATATCGACACTGACAGTTGATGAATTGACAGATGACATTTTGGTAGGAATGTCACTTGGCGCGCGCATTTTATGCTCGATCTGCGTTTGCGTACAGAATTCGTACGCATTTTCTTACTTTTCTGATTTTATCTAACAACTTGGTGTGGCTTGGCGTAACAACAAAGGACTATGATTTTCTCTTGAAATATCGACCTCTGGCCGGATTTTACTGATACGGACCTACTTAGAACAACGACCTGAGTTATTAAAAACGGACTTGCGTTGTAAACATTTAAATTGAAGGAAATTTTCGACGCAATTATAACCCCAAAATCCGAAACTGTTTTGACTTTTTCAGGATTCTCAAAAGTGTCCGTTGCGGTTGTTTTAATTTAGGTTCAATCATTATCTAAAACGTAAAAAGTAAATGTACACTTCTCTGTTGGTTCTTAGGCGGTGGAAAGGACATTTCCTTTCCTTTGTAACGCGTCTGGTGTTTTGTGTGTCCACTGTCCATGGGCGGCGCCGATTGGTTACCGTCAGGTGATACGTCGGCTAATTTACCAGGATATCCCCTATCCAAGCACAATAAAAAAATATACGTATTCATATACATTAGACAGCGATTAAATATTTTTACTATTAAGTAAAATATACATTACGAAATACTCGTTTGTTACATCGGTTGAATTTTAATAAAGCTCAGTAAAGTACAAATTGTAACTACACTTAAAAATATTTTACTGTTACTGAAATCGTCTTGCCTTTTGCAGTAGTATTTCCAGAGTAAATGCATTTTCATTAAAGTTCCCTCGCATTGAAATTGTAGTAGGTATACAGTTTACGCAATTGGTTTTAAATATTTTGTGAATGAAAAATTTAATTACAAAGTCATGTTTAATAAATCTACCTACATTTTGGAATGAGCACCTAGCTTCACCTAGCTTCACTGACGTACTGACTGACATGCTATATATTTATTTTGTATTTGTTGACGTTTCAAAAGTACCAAATTATGGTTTAATTGAAATAAATGCTTTGACTTTGAAATATATATAGGTACATAATCTCACACTTGTCTCCTATTGGCGTAGGCAGAGACTATGGAATAGAGTTTATATAATCCTAGGAGGATTGTAGAGGTGGTCATATTAAATGCACTTTTCGCTAGTTTTAAAAGAGAAGATAACATAACATCACGCATTTTATCCCCGAAGGGGTAGGCAGAGGTGCGCATCACGGCACTTAATGCCACTGTACAATGTGACACCCAGTGATCACTATTTATATTATGAGTCCCATGTAATAGGAGGTGAGCCTATTGCCATACACCGGACACATTTCCATACTCCGTGCTACTACTGAGGTTTTTACAAACCCAGTAATACTTTGCCCGACCCAGGAATCGAACCCGAGACCTCTTGCCCGGCAGTTGCACTTGCGACCACTCGGCCAATGACGCAGTTAAAAGAGAAGAATTAATAATTATTACTGTTTGATTCAATCTGATCGGACTGGATTGAATCAGACCGGAAGACGAAGCGTGGGCAGGCCTCCCGCTATGTGGACTGGACTGACGACATCGCCAGAGTTGCGGGGAGCCAGTGGATGCAGGTGGCGAGTTGTTGTTCGACGTGGAGGACGAAGGGGCAGGCCTTTATCCAGCAGTGGACGTCTTTCGGCTGTTATAATAATGATGACAATCTGACGTAGCCACCGTCTTCAATATCATGTTCAAACTGAATAAATTTTAACGTCTCATGTCGTAATCATCATACCAGCCATACGACCTCCACCGCTGAACATGGGCCTCACTAATGACTTTCAGATAAACCACTCTACAATGGTAACGAGCCATTACCCTGCCTAGCGTACAAACAAGATACTATGACATGCTATGAAGTAACCAGTATAAATAAATATTGAATATGTGATAAGAATAACTGACCCAAAATCGTAGAATACTGACTAGACGAAGCAAGTGTAGAAATATGCAATATCGTTTATTTTTAGCAAATAATCCGAATGTAATGAAATTCAGAAATAGTTTGGGAAAACCTAAATAAATACATACGTCGTTGAATCGGTGTCAACAGTCCGTGGCATAATATTTTTATAATAATTCCACTGCTGGATTTACTCTGACCTGACCCTCCTCAATACGATACTCATGTAAAGAGGAAAAGTTAACTTTTATGCCGATATGATCCAATTAACGAGACATTTGATTACCCTTTATTCTGAATTTTTACATTAATAGTTGTTACAAAAAGGTACAGTATATCTCTTAATTCAGTGTGCCTTTTGGCAAAGGCCTCCTCTAGCTGTCTCCATTGAATTCTGTCGCGAACTACTCTTCTCCAGTTGGGTCCCGCTGTAGGCTTAGTTCGTCCTCCCATCTTCTGTGTTATGGCAAGTGTATAATATGTATACTATTGTTGTGCCTTTGATAAATAAATAAATAAAATCTCTCAGGCGTCATTTTCAGAGTCTCGAAATATCAGTATCTATGTAGAGAGTATCGTAATACCGTGAGATTTCCGGAATAGAACAAAATAGTGTCAAACTCTCGTTGACTCGAATTTCAATCAAATAGGTTTAGTGGTTAATGTTATTATTCAGCCACTTTGCATACCTCAATGTTATATCTCATGAAACTCATTTGTCAAAAATATGTCAGATAACATAGAAATCTATACTTATTATTATATATTTGTGGATGTCTGTTTGTTTTGTTAGAAATTGACGTAATTATTTTGTTGAGTAGAGGTAGTTCAAAGGATTGAAAGTAGCATAGGCAACATTTTGTTTCTTTCTAACCCACCACTTCCCTAAAACAGGGGGTGGAAGTTTGTATGGAGGATTTCGTAATTTCCAAGAAACCTAAAATTAGTATCATATTTATAACCAGCAAAACATCGGGCACTAATTCTTTACTTTTTCTTTTTCTTGTAAATCTGCCCTCAATACTTTAAAAGAGCGTGACAAAAACCGGGAGCAGAAGCAAGTCCATTAATAAAATGTATGCAGTTAATTGAATTCATATTTTTTTCTTTAAAATCGCTGATTCTGATGAAGCCAAATACTATCCTTACACACAAACAACAATAGAATTAAAACACTGCTATTTATTAATTAAAAAATTAATGAATATGTTAGTCCAAACTCAATTTTTATTCAGAAAGTTACTTGAAATGAACTGCCTCGTTGGCCGAGTTGTTCCAAGTTCGACTGCCGGGCAATGGGTCTCGGGTTCGATTCCCGAGTCGGACAAAGTACTAAAAAAATTTTTTTAGGGTTTTTAAAAAATTCTCATTAGTAGCACGGAGAATAGCATTGTGCCTGGCAATAGGCTCACCCCTATTACATGGGACTCATAACATAAATAGTGAAAACTGGGTGTTATATTGTACAGTGGCATAATGTGCACATCTGCCTACCCCTTCGGGGGTAAAAGGCCTGATGTTATGTCACTATGAATGAATTAGCAACCATCCAATCTAGCACCGTTCTTCAACAAACTGTGAAGTTTCAAGCCCTTTCTACTCTATTTATATTTCTACTCTAAAACTGGAATCTAGATGAATACCCTACAACTGTCGATGCTCACACAAAGTGAAAGACTTGAAAATTGATATTGACGTATGCATATGGAGAAAAACTCCCTACAAACAATAAAGGAGAATAAAAAGATAGACTTGAAAGTTGTTTTGAAATCTTTATAGGTATCACGTACGGGATGTAGGTACTAAATTCTATACCTTCTTTGAGAGCGCCAAGCTATTCGAAGTCGATTCAGAATTCATGCCGAGAGATAAATTTGGACTTAGACTTTTGTGCTCCTTGCTTTCTAAAATTGTTATTGTAATGCCTGGTTTTTATAAAATCTGTGATCTAGTTTCAGCTAGTAGTGTTTTCATTTCATTTTCTAAGGGGTGAACTTAACATACTTCAGGCAATTCCAAATTAGGTTTGACCTTCTAAGAATTCAGAACAAAACTACGAAGAAACCTACAACTATAACCTACTTAAAATTTCGAATTTGAAATGATAAAATAAAGAATCTTATGCCCGGGTTCACCAAACTTTACTTTTAAAGGAACCTTTGAGCTAAGATAGGTAACATTTAACGACATATTGGTTTTTAAGCACCTAAAAGTACAAGGTAAAGGGTAGTAAAATAGTAAAATTACTTACTGTTTTTGTAACCTGACTACTGGATCAGCGAGCAGATCTGCACATGTAGGTTTTAGTGCAATGCGGCGATCTTCCACAGCTGGATGGGGGGTTAACACCAGCCAACCGACGTGGGCGAACCAAAATCCGCGCCTGATGTCATGAGGGTCTGCCACCGTCTCCGCATACTTGTGGTGCACTCTGTGGTCCAACGCCCATGTGTATATATCACGCTGTAAAATAACACATTTGTTAAAAATCACACAATGTCTCTATTTCTACCTTCACCATTTCGGCCATCACGTTATTGATGAGTTACTTGTTTTATTGGTTGTGATTATGGTAGTCATTAGAAGTCAACTTTGAATTTAAAAAAATAACACAATTATATTATACTAGCGGACCCAACAGACGTTGTCCTGCATATCCACTTGAATGTATAAACAAAAATTCATTCAAATTAGTTCAGCTGTTTAGGATAAATAACCTAAAAATCGACAGCAGCGCCATCTGCCGGGCTGATTTGTGAATCTAAACCATTCCCAGATCCCCTTGAACACACACAAAAAATTTCATCAAAATCGGTCCAGTCGTTTGAGAGATGTTCAGTGACATACTTACACACTCACAGAAGAATTATATATATAAAGATTTCTGTCCTTGTCATTTTGGATGTGACGTCATTTATGTGTCAAAAATGCTGGCAACGTAGCAGAAGACCAATAAATAATCGCATTTACAAAGAGAATTCGATATATGTTTTTTTCCTTGTCATTTCGGGCGTTGGTATGACAATGTTTCAATTACAATATTAGCTCACTATTTCGGATATTAAGACTTCCGCAAATAAGGTATACTAGAGGCGGCGAGAGGGGCTCTAATACAATTCCTTCTTTTAGTTACATAATAAAAAAAACTTGGGTACTAACTACAGTTTAAACTAATATATCGGCTAGTCGTTGTTATTGTTCAAAAGTCATCAAGGCCGAATTCAGATGTCAATAAACTTATATGTCATAAGCAACGAGCTGTTTAACAATACCTAAGTAAATATTTTTTCTTATTATTGTTTCTCACTGCCTCCTCGATCGAGCTGGTACCTAGTTTTATTCTGTGCTCGTGGTAAAAAATGCGATTATCTTGCAACAGCAATTAATTCGTCAATTGGGTTCAGTTTCCTGATTTTTACAGGATTTTATTTTCAAGTTAGAGCTTAATGGTAAGAGACATTGAATAATTAATTATACCTCTATAGGTACCTATTTGACATCCGGTGCAAAATGAGAAAATTAAGAAACTGGTGTTTCATTTGATTTTTTGGTTTAGTCTTATCATTAACGGTTTTATATAACAGTAATACGATGTAACAGCTTTATAGGATACTGAAAATCTAAACAGACGTCAACGATGCGCAATACTCGTCTTCGTAATGTGTATGTGTACTCATAATTTGTTTTATGATCTTCCGTCGCCAAGGCTGGCCAGCGAGAGGTCACGTGCAATTGACTTCATTTGACGAATACCGCTCACAGCCAAGACCACTGTTATAACTAATAACTAATGTATTCACTATAAACAGTACCAACTACACTACTACTAACTGTACTATCAATTGAAATATATATTATTAAAGAACAAACGAAGTCTTGATTACTCAAGAATAAATCAGTTCCAATGAATCGTCTCCTACGGAGAACAGAAGGTACATTAATAAATCACGGTTTATTTGCACTGTTTTAAGTTAAATATTAGTTCAATGAAGATTCTATCTTGCAACACTATGGTAACGATCACGTACGAAGCGATATGTACCTAATTCGTTTGAATTAGGTATCACAAAAGGTGCTCTCGTACTAAAAGTAATATAGACACAGTTTCATTGCCAAACAATTTGTACATATCTCTGAAGAACATAAACTTCGTACATTCCCCTCCAGTTCTAATTCAAATATATAATTTACTAAACAATGTCTCAAGTTGTTTCAATGAAAATAGGTATGAGCATCGATGTAAATTAATTAAAGTATAGAACATATGTGTAGGCACAACATTTTCCAAGTTACTCGGTGGTAATTGATTCCTGGTAAAATTGTAAGTGTTACTAATACATCCTACTAATATTATAAACGCGAAATATTCTGAGGATGTATGTTAATTGTGTTTGTTATTCTTTCACGACAAAATGGCTGAAGGTATCGAGATTAAATTTGGAACCGGAGTAGATTATGGTCTGGAATAAGACAGACTTGGTGTTGAGCTGGCAGAAGCAAAATGAGGATATTTCTATAATGTGAAAGATTTATATGGGAAGGATTTACAGCTTTAGGATTTGTGTAATTTCCAGCGGTCGTCTAGAAAATATTGTGAAATGTGTCGGATTTGTCGAAATATTATGCTTAGGTACTCTGTTTAAGCTAAAATATGTAGTCACGTTAACAAAATATGTAATCTCTAAGTTATTTATTTGTATACACTACAGATTTGTAACTATTGTGTTTTGTTTATTTATACGTAAGTAAAATTTCAATTAGGTAGGTATTTCTCCAACATATTTTTTTCCTCTTGACTTTGCAATACGAAGGTGATTTTAGGAATACTGTTACTAACACACAAAAACTAACAAAACCATGCATAAAAGACAAATGGTCTAAAATAAACGTTTTATTAACATAACATAACATCACGCCTTTTATCCCCGAAGGAGTAGGCAGAGGTGCAAATTACGGCACTTAATGCCATTGTACAATGTAACACCCACTTTTCACTTTTTATGTTATGGGACCCATCTAATAGGGGGTGAGCCTATTGCTATATACCGGACACATTTCTAGACTCCGTGCTACTGAGAATTTCATAAAAAACCCAGTAATACTTTGGGGAATCGAACTCGAGACCCCTTGCCCGGCAGTCATGTTTTATTATCCACTAGGCCAACGAGGCAGTCACATTTTATTATTATTATCTTATACTATTATATACTTCTCTGTCAAGAAAGTACCAGGAAAAGATCAATAATACACAAAATGTCTGTTATTCATCCAAATTTATTTTATCACCTTCAAAGTATGCTCTTTTAGAAACGATACACTTGCGCCAACGAATAATCCATTCATCAAAACATTTTTTAAACGCTGCTCAGGAAGCAGCGTCGAAGAAATGAACTCAATTCAGGAATTGAGTTCATTTCTCGCCGCGAATTCTCCTTTATGTCTTCTATCGATTGAAAATGGGTGCCACGAAATGGTAATTTGAATTTAGGAAAAAGAAAAAATTCAGCAGGAGCCATATCTGGTGAATATGGTGGTTGCTGGATGGTATTTGTTGAGTGTTTGGTCAAAAATTCGTTCACAATGAAAGCCTTATGCGAAGGTGCATTGTCGTGGTGCAAAATCCAAAAATTTTCTTTCCACAAATCTGGCCTTTTTCTTCAAATTTGCTCTCTTAAACGCCGCATAACACTCAAATAATATTCTTTATTTACCGTTAGATCTTCCTGTTAGCATTCAGAGTGCCCAAATGATTAGTTAAAATGGTACGGATTGACTCGTGAGATATAGAAAGTTCGGTGGCTATCTCTTTCAGAGTTGAATGGGGATTTTCAGTCACTATTTCCTTCACTTTTGCGATGTTAACTTCAGTTGCAGACGTTGACGGCCTACCAGAGCGTGGCAAATCTTCCATCACATCTCGACCGCTTTTGAACGCTTTGAACGATTAATATTAACATAAGCACGATTATTTGATAAAGTCGATTTACCGTAAGCCTTCTGTAACATTTTCAGTGACTCCGAACACGATTCTATTGGCGATGCAAAATTTAAGACAAACTCTTTGTTCGATACTTTGTCCATTATGAAATTCGCAATACACACTATATTATGATATTACTAAAACCAGCACTGTATTTAATATACATAACAGATGCAACTCAAACTCCACGCCAAAATGAAAAACAGTTGTGCCAATCTAACAACTACAAAACAAAACAAAAATTTGAATTTGGACCCATAAACAAATCATCCATTCCCGATAGTTTTTTGACCCAATGTAAAGCGGAAGAGTTTGTTTGTTTTTTGTTTGTTTTAATCTCCGTAACTATAAGTTTGATTTGAATAACTGTTTTTGTATTGGATAGCGCATTTACCGAGGATAGCTATAGGCTATAAAATATGATGCTACGACCAATAGGAGCTGAGCAGAGCGTGTGAAACCGCGCAGAAAGAGCTAGTATTATATATTTAAGAAAACGTTAATCTACTATAAAACCTATAGGTATACTTAAACATTATTACACACATTGTATGTGTGAAGTTAAGATCCCGGCTTAAACAATTCCATTAGGTACGGCGGAACAGAAATAACAAGGAAGCGCCCGTCATCCCTTAGCAAAACATTTTATACTAAGCCATTACATTGTAGAAATACAGCATCGTAATATAAATGCACGCCTTTAAATCTCCCAAGTAGTATTGTAGATTCTACACAATGTCCGTAAACTCAAAGAAAACGGAATGCTTAACTAAACGCCTTGTCAGACCCAGATATCAATTCCCAAGACGTATTCGACATAAATGCTTTCAAAGATATTACTTGCTAGTAATTTTATCGATATCTAAAAATATCATAGAAAATATGCCATTAGCATAGAAATTCTTCTATCTCCTGCTAAAAATAATCCTATTTCTATGAATTGTGCAAAATCTACACATTCTTTCATTTATTACGTCTTCGAATATTTTTTATGTTTTTATTCAATATGTGAAAAAACATATTATAGCAATTCTGATTCATTTTCTTGGGTTGTAATAGGACTTACAGTTTTTCCACACATATCGACAAAACATATTTTTGTCCTTATATCATACATCCTTTTTCTCACATCGCCCGTAATTTATTTTTTCATATTTTTTATGGGTTTCATTCTACTACTAAGTACTAGGTATTTAAATAATTTTAGACAGTCAATCATGCTATCTGCACCGGCCTAAACGTAATGTAACAGTTTTTTTGTCCCCAAATGTCGAAATTGTACTCCATCCAAGCAGAATAGTAATTGTTTTTATATTTTATTTTTAGCTCCATGTTTTTTAGTCCAAGTAAAGCTTTTGAGTAAATATTCTAGAAAAATAAAGTATTCAGACAAAACAACTCTCGCCTTCAGTGATAGTAAATACCACAAATATCCTCTTAACTAAGTCCGATTGTGATTTCAACAATATATAAATGTGGTCGA